TTGACAGAATGTATAAGTAAATCTTCTGAACAGAAGAATGTGGTTGAAAATACTTGAGGAAAATATTGAATAGTTTAAATGTAAATTTAAATAATTTAAATGTAAAAATATTTCAATAGAATTATAACTTTTGGTTCTCAAATGGTCATTCCCTTTCAAAATGGGAATTAATTTCCATTTATTTATAGCACATGACCATAAAAATGTGTGGCATTTGCAAAGGATCATTTCTATTTTCGTGGAAGGAAGCTGTTGTGTTAAGTTACACACAGATTCTTACACAGTTTCCATAAATACCTGACTGCTGCTCATACCACAAATAAACTCCTTCAAGGAAACATTTCATACCTATCTCAACTTTGGTGCAGTTGATGCCTTTCAAACTGTAACCACTAGAAGCATTTGCTGAAATTGATATTTCAAAATTCTTCTTAACACCAAATCACTTAATCACCAAATCAGCAAGGGATTTTTACTCAATCTGATAACTATTAATGCCATATAAATGTGCATTTAACACCATTTTCCATCAAAACCAGTTTGGGAAAACATTGTCATTGAAGAAGTTGTATAAGTTTAATCAAGAACCTTTTTTTGCAATTCTGTGCTGTTTTCAATATTCTTCCATTTCTTTCTCAAATGTTTTACATTTATGAAATATATTTCTATTAGTGTCTTCCATATCACAAATTATAACAGCCATATTTTCCTGAATAACCTTCCCAGTTAGAACTATCTGGTCAGAACATAATTTTACTATTAGGGTCTACTTTCAAAACTATTGCCTCATTAAAAAGATTACAATATTAGCATTCTCTCATAGATTTTTAAATTTCCTACTAATAAAATCAAAAAAAGGGGTTTTGGTGCTGGGTGAGTGTCTGTTATACTGGGAAAGCTAAACACCTTAGAAAGAAATGATGGTCAAACAGTTAGATTTGTCCAGAGTACTGCAGATTTTTCCTTCTTAGAATCTGGAGATGTGACTTTTTTGTAAAGATTTTGTTGTAACCAGAAATATTAAGAAAGTGTGACAGATGGGCAGAAAGAAATTATTGCCATTGTATTTATAAAATTGTATATAAATATATGTATGTATATATGTATTTGTCATTGTATTTATAAAATAGCAAAATTAAGCAGATAATCTTTATAGGATTCTCATTCATCTTCTAAAGGTCTCATGAAATTTTTATTTTTTACATAAATTTTCACATCCTTAATTTGCGTCCTTTATCTTAGTCATTATCTCTCTTTTGTTATATTCTCTATCCTTGAGTAGTATTTTTTTGGAGTTTTCTATTATATTAGTTTTAATCATGAGGTTTTAAGACCTTTCAAAAAAATAAATATAAGATCTCTGGATTTGGATGCATTCTTGTGTGGTGCACACAATTCCATCATGCAGCTTTAGTAGAGAAAAAAAAAAGGCATTAATAATATTTAGCTGTTAAAACAAACCTATCAAAAGAATCTGCCACTTCCACATAATAAAACTGTAGTTGCTGCAAATATATATCCTTTTTACATGGCTCATTTTTCAGTATGGCAATTCTAAGAAGCAGATTCACCAATAATTCATAAATCCTCAACTTAGGGTAAGAACTACTTGGCAACAACCAAAACACGTATATTATCAACATTATTCTCATACTAAATTCAAAATACAGCACTTTATTAAGCTGGTAAGAAGAAACTCAACTCTATCCCAGCCAAAACCAGGATGCTTGTATTTCAGGAAAGCATTTCCAATTTTTTGTTGTCTGGTGCTGAAACAATGCACCTTGTTCTGTGCACATGTCAGGCTTCTTAGAGGATATGCCACTCCCCCTTTTCTGGCATTTTTAAGATACCATTGATCCTTGAGACTGGCAACAAAATGACAGAGATTATGTAGATAATAAGTGATTCAGAGGAAATCAGTCTTAATAAGACACCAAAAAAATTTCAGTGATTGATATTATGTTCTTAGCTCATGTATAATAGAGGGACACAACTTTACCTGGAAAAAAAAGAAAATTATTTGCTATTATTATACAAATCCTATCATAATCAATTTGGGATCACTAGAAGTGCATGTTTTTAGCTGCTCTCAGCATTCCCAGTGTATCTTCCAAGAAAGAGTGATGTTTCCCTAAAGGAGTAAAGCATTTAATCTACACTGACAACTCTGAAAGTTCTTCTGAGGAAACAACTCCAACATCACAAGACTTCCCCTTATTCTCTCACTCCAACCTTTCTAAATGTAGTTTCCACTGTAATCAGAGACACTGTGTATCATACAAGGTGGAAAACCCACTGCAAAGGTTCTACTAACCATGGAGAGAGCTGGTAATTTATAAGCATATCATAGCAGAACATGGAATTTCCTCATTATCCTGTGAAAATTCCAGAAAAATTCCATACTGCTGAAGTTCAAAATCTGAAAATAAGGACTGAGCTTAAGTTTGCAATATTGCCTTTATTCTGTATAACTTCTCTAAGAAACACTGAATTATTTGCTGGATCATGCCCTGGAACATGTCAATGTTTTTGTTAGGAAAAGTTGTGCTCAGCCAAAATTTCCACTGCAATAACAGATCCAGAAGCAGGTCTGCCTTGCAAATGGCTCAGTCAAGAAATAGTTGTAATGGTGGCTGCCGTTCACCAAGAAGGTAACTACACTGTATTTCAGAAATGCTGAGAAAAATCTGTATTTTACATGCAAATTTGCTTCTCTGCATGGTCCCTTTTTTGCTGATTGAGGTTTGCTCATATTTTGCCATATGTTAATATAGACTTGAATTCTCCCTTCCTTCCCATCCCTCAGACACTGTGATAAACAGCTTTTAGTCCAAGGAATATATTTTTCCATCACTTCCCATATATCACTATCAAAATAAGTTTGTGAGTTCTCAAAAAATTCCAGAAAAATGCTCTAAAGAATTAGCAATTGCACAGAAAGATGCTTAAATATATAGTTAATAATAAAGATTAAGAGTTCAATTTCCCTCTTGTTCTGCTTCTTTGCACTCAGAGAACTCTAACTTTTATTTAACAGGGGTAGGCAAATTACAAATGATAACATAACTATTCAGAACATGAAACAATTTGATTTTGCATAAGGGTTTCTGACAGCAGTGCTGAATTTGACAGCATAACCCATCAAAACCAAAATGAAGAAAAAGTAGATATGATGTTCATAAGCCCTGTTAAGGCCTGCATAACTTACTTTTAATGTGCACTACTGGAAGCTGTTAGAAAACATTGCATCCAAAAATCACCACCCAGACACAGAATATTGAGTGTTGTCACAGCAAAGCCATCAGAAGTGAATCAGATTTGGATTATGTGTTACAGAGACTTTACTACTAATATTTCTGGTATGCTGTTGTTACGTTTTATACATACAAACAGTGAGATATGGTCAGAACATCAGATCAGAAGATACCACGGAAAATTGGGTTTTATGCCCATAAAGTAGTATAGCATTTATTCTCTGTCTTGAAAGGGAGCATATCATGAAGAATCTCGGCAGAAAATGTTTTGAACATACAAGCAAATTTTTTTGCATAGTCCAGAGTTGGAGTCCAGCAGCTACCAATGAGGTGTAAGGAAAAATAAAAAAATAAAAATGGAAATCAGACCACAAGAAAATTGAACCCAACTTAATATGAGATGAAACATCCAAATTTTTTGTCCTCTTCATCCCCCTAAATCAAAAGTTAAATGCCCTGAAAAAAAATTCCAAGTTTCTCAATAGCATCCCTTAATAGACAGTTTGCCTGATACACTCTACAAATATTGTGACTATATCTGATATTTATCATTCCTTTCAGCATACATACACCAATGACACATTCAAAACCATGAAGAAGAAAGAATACTGTCTTTAAAAAATGTACCCTCTTCACTATGCTTTACCTTCACCTTATTAGGAGTTTCTTCATAACTGATATGCTGATCAACAACAAGTCTCAAAACCTGTCTGATGGTGTAAATTCACAGCAAAAGAAATGTTGGAGTGAAACTATTTTAATAAGAAGAATTAAACACTTTTATAGAAGGGAGTGATTGTTTTCCTCTTTTGATATGAGGGGTAGTTTCTTTCCCAAACTCATTACAGAAATAAAATCAAACGTGCTAGAATCACACCGCAGAACAGGGAGTGGCACAGATGATCCTTTAATGGTGTCTAAAGAGTTGACAGCAAATGCAAAAGGTATCTAGTTCTCATATATATGGTATATACACACAAGTATCAAAGAAACTAGAAACCAAACCTCATTAGGTAATAGCCCAAGTAATTATTAGCATAGTAAAGAAGAAAATAAAAAGAAGAGGAGCACAATCAGTATTTTCATCATAGCCACATATAACACCAAAATAGTAAGATAACTGTACTGGAAGTGAAGAAGTTAGCTCAACAGATAAAGCCAAAAAAATTTTAAATTCTGTCTTGCCATAGAGCATCCATTAAATATTTTTAAAACATTTTATTTTCACTTTCTTAAATTTTACTGTACTTATGTGTTATATGTACTTACAAAACACGGTCTTGTTGTATGTAAGATTAGCTGTATATCCTGATTTCTGGAAGAAACAGGTGAAGACCTTTGTTGGATTCCAAAATTTGGGAGATGAGAAAAACTGTTAAGTTTAAACAAAAGACTTGGACTGACAGAGACTGGGAAAAAAACCTCCATCTAGAGTCCAGACAAGGACCCATTGGTGTCACGGGTTTGGAATGTCCTGCCCTAGTCTGGAGAAACCATGTCCTGATCTCATCAAACCTTGCAGAAGATCTTTTGTGCTTTATCTCTCCCTTTGTGTCCTCTGTATCCTGTGTATTTTGCAATCCCGAATACCTGTAAAATCCCCTAAAATAAAATGTTTTTTTTCCCATGAGGTAATTGTTAAGACCCCAAGATTTGTTGACCTAGGTTTCTCCCTGTTACTCCATCCCTGTGAAATCCAGTTTTAATAGAATGAGTATGCAAACTCCCAATGAATATGCAAACCCCTTGTTAAATATGTAAACCCTAAGCCCTTTAAATATGAAATTGTAAGTCCAATAAACCATTCCAGTTTTCTGTCTCACCCTTAGCACTGTGCAATGTCTGTGATTCTACATCTGATACTGAAAGATTTTTCATAAAAACCTTGAGAATAGGCAAAAAAATGAGGAAGTTATGTAACAGTTGCTTTTATCTGATGAACGTGAAATAAACTGCTGGTTTAACAGACTTTGCTTGTGTTCCTTGAGTTTTGCAGTTGATTTCTTTCATGATGTGTCTAGTCTTAGTTAATAAACTTTTAAAATTAATTAATAAATCAAGAACAGCTAGCTGGCAGCACAAATGTCCCCTACATTTTCTGAAAAATGTACAGAAGGTGTGGATTCAGTTGAATCATAGGAAAAAAAAAAAGGAAAAAAAAGAAAAAAAAAAAGATCCCTGAGACCATCAGCTTTCTGAGAGATAGATGGGCATTAATCTAAAGAAAATTTTAGGGTCACCATTTGACTACTCATCAGATCTCTCAGTCTACAGGTCTTCATCACTCTACATGACCTGGGCTATAATCTGGCTTCTATTGAACCTGAGCTGAAAGGAGTTGTAAATCCTACTTTGGGATAATGTAAGTTTATTAAAATATAAAGATCTTCATTTTTATCTTTTTAGTGACCTACAATTTCTATTCAGAATAACCAAGCCCTCCATACTTCTGTAGGTTTTTCATTTTAAAGAATCTCATATTTGGATAAAGAGCAATAATTCCCATTGAGAAACCTGTGACTTATTTTTAACACTGTATTTAATAGCTGTGCACCATTCAAACTGAAGGAAAGTTATTATTTAAATTATTTCAATGAAAGAAACTACTGAATCTCTTCTATTATTATTTTATATAAACTACTACATCTGTGGAATAAAACACACTGATCACTTACTGGTGACTACATTTCCAAAGACTTGTTTTTCCTCTGGCTTCTGTTTTTTCATTTCAGTTTTGCACCTGATTCCAGAAGTACTGCAGGTTCCATGTCTGCAGATACACTCATTTAAAATGACATTCAGAGATCTAGACAAAGATAAAAATGTCATTTGGCTTCAAGATATAACTTTTAGGGAGTCAAAGTTGGAAGGAAAAATAAAAACAGGTATATGTTTTTTAGAATGCATCAGTACATTGTTCTAAAAAGACATTTTCACCTTTCATATTTTTTTTTTTTTTGCAGCAAAGAGGAAGGCAGTATTTACATTTAATTTTGTTTGCAATTATTGCAATGAATAGAAAAGGAAAGGAATTGTTTGATAGCTGAAAACATAGGAAAAATATCTGCTGAGTAAACTGGAGTCTACAAAGCAGACAACTTTGGGGATGGTAAATTTATAAAACAAGTACTGTTCTTGATTAATTTAGTAGTGATTTGACAGCCTCAGAGACTAGGCACATCCATCAATAGAGCAAGCTACTTTTCTTGGGGAAAAGGGGTACAAATTTCTACATGTTGATGTACCTTCAGTTACAGAGGTCAGCACTGAGGTCTACATTTTTTACTTGTCATGGTTTAAACGCATTACTAGCTAATGATGTTTGAATTTTGGAGTCAGTCTAAAACTTCTCAGTAAATGTCAAGTTTATAGATATAATCTGTGGGTTACTCCTGAGGAATAGGAGCATATCTCAGTCTCCACTCAGCTACTCAGATACTACTTTCTCTGCTATTTCTTCCCTTTAGTGATTCTACCATTAAAAAACAAACAGCACAGATATCCCAGAAGTGGATTTTTTTTTGTAATATTTTGATGAATATTTATCAAGATTTGTTTGAGGAGTCAAAGATATTAAAAATCATTTTTGTATTTGTACACAGCACACAAGCTGTGCCAACAAATTCTGAGAACAGCAGTTCTCACTAAAAAAAAAAACCCAAACATAACTTGTGGCAAAGAAGTTCAAATTACTTCTTGGCAGGGTTTATTATTCACTTGTTTTACAGCCCCAAGTGTGTTTATTTATTGTGTATCCTGAATATCTTTGGCTGTCTGTTCATGCTATAAACTAAACTTTAAATAACAAGCAGAAGAAAACTATTTCCACCCTGTTACAGACACAATGATGCCGTAACATGTATTCTCTTGGATATTATCCTTTTCTTGAGAACTGCATACCACCCGAAGGCTTGTATCTCATGAGCACCACTCACTGGTACATCAAGTTGTTTGCAAAATTTAAGTTCCTTTAAAATTAAATTCATGCTATCTCTCTGTGCACTTCACAGTCAAACACCAGTAATTGCTCCCCAAGTGTAACTGCTCAGATACTAATTTTAGATAGCTGAAAGACAAATTGAATATTGTTTAACCATGTAAGCCTATTTTTAAAAGACTGTTTACTAACTTCATTATTGGGAAGTTATGATGAACTGGTCAATAACGAGAGCTAACAGTGAAAATGTAATTACACATAATTTCGGATAAGTGATTCCTATGTAAATGTTTTTTACACTTTTTTTTCTTTCTTTGGCAGATGAAAAAAGCCTGTAATTTACATTTCAACTCCTCAGTCTCCTCTGCACACACAAAAAATTCTAAATCTTGTATGTATGCATTTATGCATGTATATATATATGCATGCTGGTATTTCCAGAGAGTACGACAGAAACTTGATGGGTTTTATGCCTGCTGGGGACCAGTTAGGCCAATTCTTTCAGAAACCATTGAGATTAACACTCCAGACTGGGCTTGGCTGAGACAGAGCTAATTTTTTTCATAGTAGTTTTTATGGGGCTGTGTTTTGTATCTGTGACCAAAACACCATTGATAACACAGGAATGTTTCACTTGCTGCTGAGTGATGTTTACAAAGCATCAGATCCTCTTCTGTTTCTCACTTTGCCACTCCAGGGAGTAGTTTGGGGGTGGGCAAGAATTTTGGAGGGAACAAGCTCAGACAGTTGAACCCAACTGACCAAAGGGATGATATGTGTTGGATTTCAAAATTTAGGTATGAGAAAAAGAAAACTGCTAAGTTTAAACAAAAGACTTGGACTGACAGAGACTGGGAAAAAAACCCTCCATCTAGAGTCCAGACAAGGATCCATTGATGTCACAGGTTTGGAATGTCCTGCGCCATGTCCTGATCTCGTCAACCCTGTGCAGAAGACCTTTTGTGTTTTATCTCTCCCTTTGTGTTACCTGTTCCCTCATTTAATACCCCTAAGATAAGATGGGTTTCTCCCCATGAGGTAATTCCTAAGACCCCAAGAAGTGTAACTTGGCTTTTCCCCTGATGTCATCTCTGTGAAAACCCCAAATTATGGAAGTCAGGTTTCTCTCTTATGTCATCCCCTGAAACCCCTTTTTTGTAACAATTGTAATAGTTACAACCCCCGATGAATATGTAGACCCTAAATCCTTTAAATATGAACTTGTAAGTCCAATAGACCATTCCAGCTTCTTGCCTCCCTGGGATCATCTCAGCTTTATTGACCTCCAAAGATACCCTTTATGACATCGTGCTCAGCAACAAAACCTGGTGGAGGCAGAAGGAAAGAGGATGGAGTGATGTTCAGAGTGGTGGAGTTTTTCTTCCAATTAATTAATGAGAGAGTTCTGCTTTCCTGGAAATGACTGAACTGTTACCTGCCACAGGGAGGCAACACTTTTGCCATTCCGGTTCTCTCCCCCATCCCAGTACTGTGTCTGTGCTGCAGCAGATGTACTCCTGAAGGGATTGTGGTCCAAGAATAAGTCATAGAATCACAGAATCAACTGGGTTGGAAGGGACATCCGAGATCATCAAGTCCAACCCTTGATCCAACCCAGACCATGGCACTGATGCCACATCCAGTCTCAGCTTAAAAACCTCCAGGGACGGAAAATCCACCACTTCCCTGGGCAGCCCATTCCAATGGCTGATCACCCTCTCTGCAAAGAAATTCTTTCTAATATCCAACCTAAACCTCCCCTGGCACAGTTTCAGGCCGAGTCCTCTTGTCTTGCTGAGAGTTGCCTGGTAAAAGAGCCCAACCCCCACCTGGCTCCCCCCTCCTGTCAGGGAGTTGCAGAGAGTGAGGAGGTCTCCCCTGAGCCTCCTCTTCTCCAGGCTGAACAGCCCCAGCTCCCTCAGCCTCTCCTCACAGCACTTGTGCTCCAGTCCCTTCCCCAGCCTCGTTGCTCTTCTCTGGACCTTCTCCAGGACCTCAATGTCCTTCCTGAGCTGAGGACCCAGAACTGGACACAGCACTCCAGAGGTGGCCTCACAAACGCTGAGTCCATGCTGGAACAGTCACTTTGAAGTGTCAGTCAGTGCATGAAGCCATACTGGAAAACCTGGAAGTGTCTATGCCTGTGGACAAGTCCATGACACAGGAGGTACCCACTTGAAGAGACTGTGGCTATGGGAGAGGCCAAAGTGGAGCAGATGCACACCTGAAGGAATTGTGACCCATGGATGAGGCTAAACTGGAGCAAATTGCACTACAAAGCTACTGTGTTTCTGGAAAAGTCCATGGTGCAGCAGGTATACCCCTGAAAAGGATATGGCTCATACATATTACTCTACTGGGAGCAGGTATATCCCTGAGGGCTGTTCCATGGATATGTCTTAGCTGCCTACCAAAGTCACAACACACTACCATTCCTTAATTTCATGACCTGTTCCAACACAGGACATTTAGACTAACGTGGCAACCAAGGATATGGACAAAAGACCACTCACTAGATAGCTGTTTGGGGGAATAACAGAGTGTATATGGAGACCACAAAAGGAAGCTGTAAAATTGAATACTTGAATGAAAAAGAGGTACACAGTAAAAAGTAATGCCCTGATTGTTTGAGATAGAAACTCACAATTGTGAGACCAAATGGAATATTCAAAATGGAAGACAAAACATGAAACGAACATATTTTCCTTTGAAACATCCCTCAATAAAACACTTATATTCACTGCTTCTGAAAGTCTTCTCTGCCAAAATATAGGCCTCACATTTCCAAATACTATTCTGTGTGCTTGACTTTAAACACTGGATCTGTTCTATTTAAACAACTGGGATTAATATCTTCATTTCAGTAAATGAGGCCATTCATATTCTCAAAGTGCTGTATATATATGTATATAAATATATATCAGAGTGAAATTAATTTAGTATATTAGCAGAGAGATCCATTAAAAAATTAATGGTACATTTTCTAGGTCATTATATCACATGGGGGTTTTGTTATTTTAAAGCATTTTAGAGCAGTCATTGAAAATCTGCAGAAACCTGATAGAAAATGTGGTTCATCTAAACCCTAGATAAGTGGGAGGTTTGTTTGGTTTTGGTTTAGGAGGTTATTTTAGAATCATAAAATCATAGAAGAGCTCAAGTTAGAATAGACCTCAAAAGATCATCTGGTCCAATATTTCATGGGAAAGGGAATTAGATAAGACTGTCTAACACACCATCCAATCACATCTTGAGAATTTCCATTGACTGGGACTCTACCACATCCTTGGAGAGGTTCTTCCAGTGATTGATGGCTCTCACTGTAAAAAAAAAAATCTTTTTTATATTAAGATGAAACATCTCCTGGTGCAAGTTGCACACATTTTCCTTCATCTTCCCATTGTCTTTTTTACATAGTTGTGCAGAATGATTGGGAATGGATTAGACTTTACGGACAGACACCCCTATACAGCCACAAATTTATTTGATTTGTTGCAGCTTGGTGAGAAAACATGGTGCAGTCATCATTACAAAGCATTTTCTTTTTCCATAAAAAAGAGTCACAGATGTACATCTTCCCGTGTGTCAGGACCTTCTCTACATTGAGTTTTTCATGATTCCCACAAATCTGAGGCCTTTTTGACACAGTTGGAGGAGGTGAATCTGCCTGTGTGTGAGACATAAGCTTCAGTAGTGTCTGTAAATTTACTGTGCATGGAAAGGAGGCAAGTGTGTCTTTTATCAGCTGCATGCAAGTAATACTGTACATCAAAACTGCAGACAAAGTCAAGGGAAAACAGTGTTATATTTACAAGGAGTATAATCATTAAGAACATCACTTATTTCATCAAAACCCAACTTGTCTAAACAGCCACTCTGAAAGGAAAATTGTATAACCCTAAGCCCACAAAAAATACCATTGACTTGAGTGAGAACTTACAAAGGAAAACTTAGGGTTGTCCTAATGAGGTGTTCAGACTTTAAAACTACGCAGCAGCTCTATGGACTACTCACTGTTTCTTTGTAATATGAGTCTGTTCTCGGGGTCCTTTTAAACTGCCTCATGTTGAAGGCAAGATATCAAGTCTTACAAGTGTCCCTTTGATTAGAAAGCCAATTTCTTCTGCATAGAAGGACTGTGCTCTTTGAAAGACATGTAAATAACTATAAAAGGGTTTATCATTAAATGTAAGTAGTTGAAATAGTCAAATGTTATGGTCAATGAACGTCAAAGAGTAAACATTGGATCACATTCATTTACTTAAACAATGGTGAACTAACAATACTTCACTAACTTGTATGACAGAATACAAGGATAAAAATAAGGCTAAATTGACTATTTGTAAATAAAACATGTTCTTGTTCAATTCAAAATATATAACACCTACTCCATTGCTCAGATAATTAGCAATGCTGCGTGCAAACCAGTCCAACTGCAGACTAAAGCATTAAGGAGAAACTGAAACAATTCAAGAGTTAGGCTACGAATGAAGGGACAACAGTTGAATAATTTACTAGAAAAAATATCACAATTCACTGAATAAATTATTTTGTAGGTATTATTCAGCTGGCTTCAGCAGCGAGACTAGTGTATCCTAATCTGACACTAAAATTCACTGCTTCAATGAAAGGGCATCTTTGCCAAGTGTCACCTCAGAAGAAGTCTCTGCTTAGCAGCTTGCAAATCAAGATGATCTGTGTGAAAAGGAAATCGTTCACAACACCTTATTGGTAGCAGTCTCTCAGAGGTAAACTCTTTAATATTAATGAAATTGCAACCATCAGAAAAAGAAATGAGAGCTCAGGAAATAGCAACATTCATCCACTGACTAATAACAAAAACATTCAGTAAATTAACTGTCTTAGAAGCCAGAAGCAAATCTAACCTGTTAAGGCTCTGACATAGTGGATCATCTAGTCTCTGAATGACCCTAGTCAGAAGAATGTGGATGCAGTATAAATACCTAATGGAGATGTACCACACATTAATTACACTTTTAGATTATCCCCTAGGTAATGGAAGCAAGTAAATTTAAAGACCTAATTTACTTTGAGGTAAAACTAACAACACTATGACATGAAATTGCTATCATGACATATACACTTTTTTAATGTTTTGCCATCTCAACCTCATGGGACTACACGGACATCACCCCTTCTCTGGTGGTTCTTCTCTCCAGCAAAAGACTTCTCAGTTTGTTGTCTGGTTTTGTTGGGTGTTTGGGAGGCAGTGAGGGGATTGGGGGATTTTTGCTTGTTTGTTTGCTTGCTTTTCCTGGTTGTAGCAGCTTTTTTTCTTCTGCACCAATAATGATGTGAAAGTGCTACTTCAAAACCATTACAGATGCAGACTTGTTCTCAGAGTGTAAAAGCAATTTAAATTCCTTTGCATTCTAAGAATTTCAACTATGCAGAATAGAGAGACTTCCTAAAATCAGTGTTAGGACTTGAGTTTCTTACAATCCATTACAAACAACCAAAGAGTGCAAAATGGAATCATAAGTGCAAGTGAAAAGATCTTGATACTTAGCTGGGACCAAGTTTCAGGTGACAGAAGATAGGTAGGCTGACAGGCATTTGTAAGCAACGCTGGCTTATGTAGCACAAACGCTTTGCTTGTTTGGTTTTGAAACACAGATTGCACCTTAAAGAAACGTAACTCTGAAATTCAGTGTCTTCAATGGGTGATAGTCAGAGATAGTAGAATAAACTTCACAAAGTTGGTGCACTTTATTTTACCCTTGCTCATGATCTCAGTTCCATTGTGAGGGCATACTTAAAGAAGGGGACACATCTGTTTCAAACTTTTGATAATGTCCAGAAAGGTTTCAGACTATTTCAATTAGTGCCAATGTGGTCATATTGCATGAGCAGAATGATCTTCAGGGCTCAGATTTCCATCAAACTAAAAGAAATTAGTGGACTGCTTGAAACTCACCTGTTGTGTCCTAGAACATATTTTTTTTTTTCAGACAAGAGTGTTACAGTTACAGGCTAATACGTATTTCCCCTACAATGCTGTCCATCTACCCAGTCCTGAGGAAGATGTTTAGTGCCTTAAGATACTAAAATAACACTTCACAGCTGATCATATGGTGCTATGAACGGATCAGCCAGTTAATGCTGAAGGAGAGAAAACAAAATTGGTTTGACAGTTAGGCTGGCAACACTGAGTTTGACATGAATGTGCTTGCAGGATGAATGGAATGGTTAAGGTCATAAGGGACCTCTGTCAAGCAGTGCCAACCAGAGTAGATTGTCCAGGA